ATCTACTTGTCAACTACGACCTTTTGGACCACAGAAAGAGAGCGAAATGGGTATGAAAGTGGCTGATCTTCTGGATAAAACTACCCTCGAATGGGACAGAATAAAAGTTCATAACACACTTCCTGAGCTTGCAAAACAGGTTTTCTGTGTTAAGCCGAGTAAAGCTGGGGTAAAAAATCGTGTTTGCAGGATCCCAAATAGCTCGAGAGAGTACACAACCAAATCTGGATATTACACAGCAGAAGCACAACTCACGCAATTGGATGAAAGCCAGGTGAACCTAGAATGGACGGCTGACATTTGGAAAGGAGACTGCTCTCCGAAGCTAAAAGTATTCATATGGCGTTGCGCACTCGAGGCTATTGCAATTGGTGAGAATTTGATGAAAAGAGGCATAAACATTAGCACTAGTTGTATTCATTTAGGGGTTGTGGAGATTATGGTTCATCTACTGTTTCATTGTCCATACGCAAGACGAGTTTGGTCTCTAATTCTTTTCAAGACCCCCTTTGAGCCACTGCAAATTTCAGACCTCAAAACTAGACTCAAAGTAGGGAACAGTTTTGATGCTCTGCCTCCGACAGGTGTAGCAGCTGGACCTCTTTTCCCTTGGGTGATTTGGTCTTTGTGGTATACGCGGAACCGGAAAATCTTCGAAAACAGAACACATTCAGAGCAAGATACAGTTACAAAAGTAGTTCGGGAGGCTCGCGAATGGGGAAAAACGAGAGCATGAATCACCCCAACGCGGAAGTATAGCTAGATCTCTCCCTGCTGACATTGTTGTAATTCATACAGATGGAGTATAGCAGGAAGAGACGCTAATTGCAGGCTTGGGATTGACTTTTCAGAGACAAGATCCTTTTAGCACAACGCTATGGAAGCTGGAGCAGAGGTCAAAATCTGAACATTTCGTTAGTTCACCTTTCATGGCGGAAGTACTTGCTATCCGAATGGCACTGACACAAGCACGAAACAGAGGACTATCCAAAATATGCTTATAATCAGATTGTCTAGTGATAATCGGAGCCATAACCTCTTTCAAACTGATCAAGGAACTATTTGGAGTTTTACAAGGTAGTGCAGCTCTTATTCCCCTATTTCTCTTTACTGACTTTATGCATGTATCTAGATAAAAAAAAACGAAGTGGCTAGTTCCCTTGTAAAAAGGGCAATTCATGTTCCGTCCGATGTATGTCTCAAATGAAGAAATGAAAAGCTTGTTTAGTTGACCAC